GGTGGCACCTCTCTGTTTGCCAGATTGCCATAGCAGGTGCCCCTGTCACCGTGTGGATGGCCTACGACACCGGCTACACCGAGCGCTACATGGACGTCCCCGAGAACAACCAGCAGGGCTACGAGGCTGGCTCGGTGGCACTGCACGTGGAAAAGCTTCCCAATGAGTGAGTACCCGCCCCAGACCTGCTCCTGGACCTCTGCTCAATCCCAGAGGAATGGAAATGGAGGATTTCTGATCCTCTTTAACTCGGCAGCAGCTGGGCCACAGCACCCCCAGCCCCCTGCCAGGCAGGGCTTGAGGCCCACGGCCATGGCCTGGCACTGCCCTTGCTTGGGTTTGGCTTGTCCAGCTGGAAGCTCTTTACTCAAACCTTCTGCAGACCTTTTATCTGGTGCCTCATTGTGTTTTCCATCTGGTTTCTCATCCTGTTTCTCTGCTTATCTCTCACCCCATGTCCAGGCCAAATCGTTTGCTGATCCTCCATGGCTTTTTGGATGAAAATGTGCACTTTTTTCACACCAACTTCCTGGTATCGCAGCTAATCCGGGCTGGAAAACCTTACCAGCTGCAGGTAGGAGGGACAGAAGTGGGGAGGAAAGGTTCCATCAATCTGGAGAAAGTTCCCTAACTGTGTGTTCTGGGGATGGGAGGGGATGGAGGCAGATCCCCATGTGCTGTTGTGATGCTGGTGCCAGTGAAGACCTCGCTGGACTCAGAGGAGGCCGGGAGGTGGCACTGTGGCTGTTCCATGGCTGCCAGATGTGCCATGTGCAGGCAGAGCTGGTGCCCCGGGGCCTGGAACTTTCCTCCTCCATGAGCTGTTGTGTCCCACTTGGCAGGGGTGGCTGCAGTGAGGGAGGGGGGGTGCTCCAGACCTTCCCTGGCACTTCTTTGTCCTGATGGAGACTGGATGGGAGGGAGCAGGGCTGAGGGGAGGGAGTTCTGTGCCTGCTGAGTGACCAATGCCCCGTGTCTGCCCTGGCACAGATCTACCCCAACGAGAGACACAGTATTCGGTGCCCTGAGTCAGGAGAGCACTACGAAATCACGCTGCTGCACTTTCTACAAGAATACCTCTGAGAGCACGAGCCTCTGCAAACTGGACACTGACAGCTCACCTGCCCCGTGCCCTCCCGCTCCCCAGCAGCGTCCAACCCTGAGCACAAGGGGCTGAGTGCCCACATTGGGCTGGGGATACCCCCAGGCCAGGGGGAAAAGCTGGAGGGCACCTTCCCTTTGGACAGTGCCACCTTCTCTCACTTTCCAAGCTGGAGGTCTGCTCCTGCTCGGCTGCTCGTCCTCCTCCTCTCCTCCAGCCTGGCTGTTCAATGCTTTTTTTGCTGCTACTCCCTCTCTCCTGGGAATCAATGGACAGTGGTCTGTCCCGAGGCTGAGGTTTGTGTCCATCTCTCTCTCCCCAATCCTTTTCTTCTTCCACTGCACCTGTGCAGTTCCCAAACTCTCACCTGCAAGAACTCAGTGCCTGTGTTGGAAACGGAAGAGCCGAATCAGAAGCTGCCTTAAGCCAGGAGTGTGAGGGAAGAGAACTACCTACTGCTCACCTGGGGATCTGCTCTGTGTCCTGGCCCTGCTGCCACACTGGAGCCCTGGGAGCTGAAGAGAGGTCTACAGAAGCATGCAACACTAGTCTTTTTTTTTTTTTATATCTATCTATTTTCAAGTTTAAATTTGCAGAGCAGATGGAGGAAGTGGCCGGGGCCAGTAACGGCGCCCTCTGATCCTTCCTCTCATGGCCGCTCTCACTCAGAGTTGTGCCAACAGGTAGCACAGGCAGCTGGCTACAGCCAGAGCCTCTCTCCAGAGCTCACAGCAGCATTTGGGTTTTTGCAACACAAGATGGATGATATTTATGCAAATCCTCCCTCCCTCCGTTCTCTGTGCCGCCTCCTTGTCCCCTTGTCCTTCCCTGAGCTTTCCAATGTGCACTGAAATTGGCTGTGCTTCAGTTCTCTGCGGGTCAGTGACTGGTCCCCCTGCCCGTCTACTCAGCAATGCTCTCTCCTGGTTTTTATTTACCTGGGCAACAGGAACTGCAGTTCTGGGGAGGGGGATTGAGCAATCACACCTCAGGGGAGCACATCCCCCCCTCAAGCCAAGGGTTCTGCCAGGGGCAAAACGAAAACACAAACAAAACCCACCCAAATGAACCACGTTGACTTGCCCTGGAGTATTTTAAGTGCGTATTATGAAAAGAAAATATTTTTATGGATTCTTATTCTTTTATAATTATGAGTGTAAGATGTAGCGACTCATTAAAATATTGGAAAGAGACGTGGTGGCTGCTTTGGGGGAAAGGAGGAAGCAGCAGCTGCTGCCACAGCCAGCGCAGCTCTGCTGCAAGCCAAGTGCTCTGTTCTTTCTGTGCCGAGCAGTGGAGAGAATATTAAATCCCTGATGTTCCTCAGGGGAAGCACGATCCAAGCAACTGAGGGTTGGGAATCCTGGGCTGTGTGCTTGGCTCACAGTGACCTTGAGCAGTCAGCAGCAGCCTGGGGTGGGCACCTCCCTCCCTGCGATGGGATTGGGGGTGCAGCTGCTCTGCTCCCACTCTGGGACACACTGAGCTGTTTGTGCAGAGCTGGGCCTGCCTCTGCTCGCCCTCCCAGCCCAAAGCTCCCAAACCTGGCCTTGCTTTGCCTTCCTCCGTGGGAGCTGCTGTTAATTAACCCACTGTTAATGGCCTGAGGGTGCTGCTGGAGGCTTGTTCTAAATGCAGAACTTCTTCCAGATGGAGCATTTGCGTTCCTGGGGATGACTGGGAGCAGATTTTCCCCTCCTTCTTCTTGTCCCTGTGCTCAAATAATTGTCCCAATATTGCAGTTGTGGTTTAGCTGCTAAAAAGCACCTCAGGTGTGAGTTTTGAGGTCAAAGGGGTAAAAGGAGGGACTGGGATGGAGGAAGTTAGACCTGGGAGATGTGTCTATAAGAGCACCCTGCACCCTCTGTTCCTCACTGCTGGGTGGGTGCTGCTGGATGGTAAGAAGCTTTATTCTTGCAGAGTTTGTTTCTGTGCTTCCCTAATTTAATTTTTAGGCCTAATTTAAACTGCTTTTTCCTGTCCCCAAAAGGCTGAGTGTTTCTTAAAATGTCTTAAAGACACTCTTGTCTAGAAGAGTTTGCAGATCTGTTGGCTCCTCTGATCCCCCAGCTTGCTGCTGGATTTTTTGGCACCCTAAAAAGAGGTTGGTCATCTTCTTTTGGGGATTGAGAATCCTGAGAGGAATTAGCTGGGAAATCTCCTCGAGGAGCTGTTCCATATGGAACAGGCTCTGTCGGGGATTGAAACACAAATGATGTGGGAGGCCCCACCCCGGGAAGGGCGATGAGAGCAGGGTGGCTCTGGGTGGAGGATTTGCAGCTGGAGGATGAAATGAAGCTGAGTTAATTTCCTGAGTGAGTGGTAATGACAGAGGAACCAGCAGGTGCTGGGGAAACCAGGCAAAAACCATTTTTCCTCAAGAATTTGGGACTTGAGAAGGGCTTGGGAGGCATTTCTCTCCCAAAACTCACCCTGTGGGGCTTTATTTTTAGGTGGATGGTGTGGAGGGAGAACAGATGTTCTGGAGGACTTATTTTTAAAACAAAATCACTCCTCAAGCTACAAAATTAGCTCAGAAAAGTCACTCCTTGCCCTGAAAGATGCTCGAATGGAAAACTTCCTGGCATCTCCATTCCCAAAGTGGGTGTGATAAAGGTGCCACCACAGCTCTGGCTCTGGAAAAGCCACGTCAGTGGAAACTCTGGGTGCTTGGGGGTCTCAGGCACTTGATCTCTGTCCTGGGCCATGCAGGCTGCACCCCAGAACAACTGGAGCAGCTCAGAAATCCCAGGGTCCCCCAAAGGAGGAGTGGGGTGTCCAAGGACAGGGCAGGGCTGGGCTCTGGGTGTGTCTGTGCTGCCCAAACCAAAGGGTGTAAATTGATCTTGGAGAATCCTCTGGGAGGGATTTCGGTGAAATCACAGGCATCCCAGCTCCGTGCTGGGACTCAGGGAATGCTCAGGCACAGCCTCTGCACAGAACCCTCCTGTCCCTGGTGCCCCTCCAGCCCCTCTCAGAGCTGGCACAGATTTCTGTGCCTCCCCTCTGCTCTAATCCAGGATTTTCCTGCTCCCAGCCCCTGGCTGTGCTGGGGGGCTCAGCCCGGGGCCCCCTGACCCCCTCTCCCCTTCCCATGGCCCTGACCCTGGGGCTGCTGCTGGCCCTGCTGGGCTGTGCCACAGCGCCGGACCCTGCCCTGAAGGAGGCCTGGCAAGGGTGGAAGAGTCTTTATGCCAAGGAATGTCTGGTCCCTTTGTCCCCTCACCACAGGGCCTCTTGCCCCGTGACCACCGTGCCCGTGTCCCTCTGTCCCCATGTCCCCCTGTCCATCCGCTTTGGCCGCCCGGCCTCCTGCCCACACCCAAAATGGCCGCCGTGCCGCCGCTGCCGCCGCCCTGACCCCTGCCGGCCGCCGTACCCTCGCTTCCTCTCAAAGATGGCGGCGCCCAGCGGAAGGAGCGGCGGCCGCGCGTGGGCAGCGCTGGTGCCCGCGGCCCTGCTGTGCCTGGCGGCCCGGGCGGCCGCGGGACCGGGCACGGCCCCGGAAGCGGCCTCGAGCACGGCCGAGTTCGACGTGCGGCCCGGCGGGGAGGTTCACTCCTTCTCCCGGAGCCTGGTGAGCGACCAGGAGGGAGGGAGCGGGAGCGGAGAGGGTACGCGCCCCTCGCTGATTGGCTGCGCGACACGTCACTCATATCGCTTGCTGTGGGGATTGGCTGGGCGCGAGGGAGGGCGGGGCGAGCGGGTGGTGAGGGGTCCCCAGGGAAAGAGGGGTCCCCAAAGGGGGCTGCAAAGGCAGGGGGACCCAGGGATCTGCAAGGGAAAGGAGGTCCCCAGGGAGAACGGGAGTCTGCAAGGGGAAGGGGGGTGTCAAAGAAAGAAGGGTCCTCATGGTAGGGGGCTCAGCAAGGGAAGGGCCCCAATGCAGAAGGGGCTGGGGGTCCCTGGGCACCCCAGAACACGATTCCTCACCCCAGCACACCAGGCAGGAGGAAATGGTGGTGCCGGGGGAGGTTTAGGCTGGATATTGGGGAACATTCTTCATGGAAAGGGAGGTGGGCACTGGCACAGTGGCACTGGCAGAGTCCCCATCCCTGGAGGGATTTAAGGCCATGTGGCACTTGGGGACAGGCTCAGCGTGGCCTTGGCAGTGCTGGGCACTGCTGGACTGGGGGGCTTCTCCAAGCTCAGCAATTCCTGAAAAGCTGGTGCTAAACGAGGCTGCTGCTGTTCCTCTCTCTGGCAGGGGGATTACAGCTGCTCCTTCACCTACTCGGCCCAGGGCGGCACCAACGAGGTGAGCTGGGCACCTCCTGCTGCAATCAGCTCCTTTTTCTCACCCTGAAAGGAAAAGAGGCTGGGAACTGTTTGTGTGAGAGCACAGTCCTAACTGCAGGGAGCAGGAGGGGCCAGCAGGGAGGGCTGGGGGTGGTGGTGGGTGATTCTGGAGCTGCTGCTGCTCCTGGAGGGGAGGGTTGGGTGATTCTGGAGCTGCTGCTGCCTCTGGAGGGAAGGGTTGGGTGATTCTGGAGCTGCTGCTGCCTCTGGAGGGGAGGGTTGGGTGATTCTGGAGCTGCTGCTGCCTCTGGAGGGCAGGCTCGGCCCCGCAGGGCTCTCCCCACGCTGACCCCGGCTCTCCCTGTGCAGCAGTGGCAGATGACGGTCGGAGTGAGCGAGGACAGCGGGCTCTTCTCCTGCTCCATCTGGAGGTGTGTCCTGAGCACAGCGGGGCAGGGACGAGGACCCTGCAGGGATTTACACCTGGGCAGGGAGGGTTTTCCTCTGCCAGGGATGCTCTGGGGGTTTTTGGTGCAGCTGCTGGTTTATAAATTCTCTGTTCCCCTCTCCCCTGCTCTGCACAAAGCTATAAGAGATCCAGAGGTGGCTGTGGGGGCAGGGAGGGAGCCAGGAATCCTTCACTCCTCTCCTCCTCCTCCTCTGCACCTCTGTGCCGATGACAAAGGCTCTGCTTTCTTCTTTCAGGCCCCAAGGGAAGTCTTATCTCTTCTTTACCCAGTTTAAAGCTGAAGTGAAAGGAGCCAAGATAGAGCATGCCATGGCTTATGTAAGTCCCAGCTGATCCCGGGGAAGCAGGAGTGTGGGAGGCTGCTATAAAACATGAATTAGACATGGAAAACATTTATTAGACATCTGTGCCATAAAATGTGCTCCATCACGTCCCTAATTAGAGGCTGGTGGCAGGCAGAGAGGGGCTGCAGGTGGGCAGCCTGCTCCATTGTGTTCCTGCCCTCAGCCACAGCATTTGCTGGGAGGGGGCTCCAAAGGCACCAGGGCACAAAGGGAGTCTTGGATTGCCTCAACAAATTGCATGTGACAAAGCAAATGAAACCTCTGCTGGTGTTTTTGTCTGGCTCATTCTTCCATTTCCCAGTTTCCAGGGGTGAGGCTTTCACTCACCCCAAGGACACGAGTCTGCGGTTTAATAGGACATAGAAAAACAGACAGAGACTTTCCTTCAGACTTCCTTTGTGCACTTAATTCTTTCCCTGCATGCAAATCTCAAACCCCTTCATTTTCAGTTGGTTTGAATTCTGTGACCTGTTGGATTGCCTCAGCCTCTCACCCTTCCTTCCTTCCTTCCTGTTTCAGTCTCAGGCTGCTGCAGGTGCCCTGAACGACATCCCCTTAAAACAGGAGGAGTTTGGAGTCACTGAAAGCACAGGTGTGTGCCTGAGGGGCTGTGAGAGAGGGGCTGGGCTGGGGGACACGCCAGGCAGCAGTTTATCTCCAATCCTGGTGGCAGTGCCATGGAGCTGGGGTACAGTGCTCTCAATCCACCACTGGCAGCTGGATTTTGTGGGTCCATCCCAGTTAAATCCCTGGCTAAGGAGGGGTTTCTCCCCCAGCCTGGCATGTGCAGGAGTGGGAAGAGCAGTGCCCAGCACCCTGGGAAGGGCTCAGTGGGGCTGTTTTGTTCCTGCTTTTCCATCTGCTGACCCTGGGCTGTCCTCTCTGTCTCTCTGCAGTGTCTCACAGGGAAGGCAAGTTCCGTTTCGAGCTGTCCAAGCTGATGATTGTGGCAAAAACCCCCCGTGACGAGCTGTGAGGCCAGGCCAGCCCTGGGCAGGGGCCATGGCCACGCCAGCACAGCAGGGAAGGCATTTCCTGCTTACCTGCAGGGTTTTTCTTTTGGTTGACCAAACCTTTTATGTTTTCCATACTGCAATGTGCTGGGGACCGACACGAGTGGGGGCTTGGAGGGCTGGGGACAGATTTGTTCTGCCTTGTGTCAGAGTAACACCCCAGGAGGCTCCTGATCCTCCTGTGCCCCTTCCTGCTTGGCTGAGCTGCTGAGCAGGGCAGAGCTCCCTGCAAAGGAGCTCCTTATCTGCCTGCCTGGGAAGAGCAGTGCAGGGAGATAAGGGGCTGGACTTAAGCAGGGCTTGCTAAAGGGAGGTTTTAACTCTGTAGTCCCTGGAGGGGAGATGGGATTGCTCTCTCCACCAGCGTGACAGGAGGAAATAATTCATTCAGGGGGAGGGAGGGAGGGGATTGGCCAAAGCTCTGACTCCGTGCTGAGTGTGGGGCTGGGCTGGGGGAAGGCAGAGCAGCTTATTCTGACACAATCAGGAATCAATCCAGGCAACACTTCCCCGTGTCAGCACAACCAGGGGACTATTTTATACCTACAGAAAAGTGATCTTTTTCTTATCCAGAGTAATAACAGGGAATGTGCAATTCCTTTCCTGTGTAAATACAGCACCAATAAAGAAATAAAGCATCGTGCTCTGGCCTGAAGCTGCTCAGTTCTGTGCCTCCTCCCCTCTCCAGCTGTGTGGACCTTTGTTGCTGCTTGGCCAGGAGGAGCTGAGGTGTCTCACAGGAATTTGGGGGCTGCAGAGGGTTTAGGGGGATTTTCCAGCTGCCACAGACACACACCTTGGGAACAGCAAAGCATTTCTGGCTGGGCATTCCTCAGCCCCAGCCCACCACACCTGCCTGGGATTCCCAGCTCTGGTTCCTGCCCTTCTGAGGGACCAGCACCTCCTGGGCTCCTGCTGTTCTCCACACCCCCTTGTGAATGGGCTTTGCCCCCACCTAAGCTGTGTCACACAATTATCGGTGACAGCTGCAGCCAAGGCCTGTGAAATGACAGAGACAGGGCCTTTGTGTCTTTTCTTTCATCTTCTAAGGCTGAGAGTTATCAGTGCCAGGGGTGGGGAGGGAGCAGGAGCCCGTGCCTGGAGACATCCAGGGAACAGGAGGCACCAGAAGGTCACAGAGATAAGGCCAGTGGAGATTGTGTGGTGTCTTGGGTGCTAAAAGGGCAATTTCCAGTGCTCAGAGCTGAGCTCAGTGTGCTGGGAGTGACCTGAGCATCCCCTCTGCTCTGGGCTGTGCCTGCAGAGCCACCCCTGCTGCCAGGGCTCTGCTCCTGGGCCCTGAGGGGATGTGGGGCTGCAGAGGAGCCCGTGGGGGTGGCATCTCACCAAATCATGGAACGGTTGGGGTTTGGAGAGGCCTTAAAGCTCATCCTTGCCATGGGCAGGGACACCTTCCACTGTCCCAGATTGCTCCAGGCCTTGTCCAGCCTGGCTTTGGGCACTTCCAGGCAAGGGGCACCCTCTGCCAGGTGCCACAGACAGGAGCTCCTTCCCAATATCCCATCCAACCCTGCCCTCTGGTAGGGGAAGCCATTTCCCTTTGTCCATGCAAATCCAGGAGCTGCTGGGCCACTGAGCAGGGACAGCACAACCAGCAGCAGTGCCAGGGGACAGAGAGCACAAACCCCAGGTCACAGAGAGCCACCAGCAGCTGGGGGCAAAGCCAGCTGTCCCCAGGGCTCATCCTGTCACTGTCACCACTGCTAGAACACCCTCACAGAGCTCCCAGGCCACACAGTGAGTTTATTTCAATAACTCATCAGGGCTACAGAGTTTGCCAAAAACGAACATCACTCAGTCAAGGGCGTGGAAAAGGGATGAAATCCCAGGGGGGCTTTGGATGACCACCAAGGACAGCGCTGGAGCTGCCAGGTGGCACCACCACTGGAGGCTGGTGGGCAGTTGGGTGCTGGGTGGTTCCAGGGATCCAGGGATGGAGCAGCTCCCCCCAGCTCCCTCCCAGCCCTCCTCCAGGAGAGGAGGGATCCTCCTGGCCTCAGGGATTTGTCTTTGAGGACACCTAAGCCCATCCAGAAGCGCTTTCCTGCCTGAGGCAGCCAGCACAAGTCTGGACCATGATTTTCTCCCACCACGTTGTGGAGCTGCTGGAAGAAAACCATGGTGTTCCACAGCCCTCCAGTTATGGGGTCTCAGAACTGATCCCCCCAACAACATCCCCCCTGCTCAGAGACACCTCAGAGGTGCTTCACACTGCGAGTCTTTGGTTCAGTTTCCCCTCAGAGGGAACAGAGTTCAAGGCAAAGAGTCCAAACCCTTGGACTCTGAGCTAAAGGCACTTGGTGGGCAAAGGAAATCCAACTGTACAGCAGGGGCCCAAAATCCCAGGATGGCCTGGAGAGGGCTCAGCCCAGCACAGGGAGGGGTTTGCAGACCCTGGGCAAGGGGGACATAAAGCCAAGAGGTTCAATCTCTTGGAGAAACGAGGAGAACACAAGCCAGCACTACAGAGGAGGAGGAGGAGGAGGAGGGGATGGCGAGCCCAGCGGAAGCCAAAGCAGACATCGCATCTTCGGCCTCGCGGGAGGCAGAGTCCGGCTGCCAGGAGCAGCCCAGCTCAGATGCTCTCCTCCTCCAGCATCTTGTTGACCCCCTCGCAGATCCTCTGGAGGTGGGTGCGGTAGGGCTCGGCCGGGCCGTACAGCGCCGACAGGAACTCGTAGTCCGCAAAGTGGTTGAAGACGTGGTTGATGCGCGAGTGCGACTTGGCCGTCAGGTGCCCGTTGACCGCCTGGTGCAGCAGGTCCCGGCACTCGGTCAGCACGCTGGACATGACCCTGCGGTCGAAGGTGAAGTCTATCTGGTGGAAGCTGACGGCCGTCATGGCCAAGGTGTGAACCTTCTTGCGGAAGCGCTCCATGACCAGCAGCTCCTCGGGGCTGAACTGCCCGTTGCGGTAGAGGACGCCCAGCTTCATCACGATCTTGATGAGGTTCTTGATGATCTTCTGGGCCTCCTTGCGGTTGTGGGTGTACTCCTTGGTGGCCCGGTACAGCTCATCCAGGATCTCGCTGCTGGTGTCGTCGATGAAGGCGTTGGCGATGGTCTTGGTGGCCATTTTGCTCAGGAGCTTCTTCTGGGCCTGCAGGGCCAAGTTCTTGGTGCTGAAGGTGTCCATCTCTGCGGGGGAAGAGGCACACACGGGTCAGTCCCTGCTCTGCATCCTTCCCCATCTCACCTGGGCTGGTGGAATGTCCCAGTCCATGGCAGGGGATGTCCCAGGCCATGTTCTGTGATTCCTCACCTCCCCACACAGATTTTTGGCAGGAGAAAGAGCATCTCCAGCTAATGCCAAGACTTGAGGGAGCTCCTGGCTGCCAGGGCAGGTGAGAGCTGAGCTCACCCCCCAGGTTTGGTTGGTGGGATCAGTTCCAAGGTGTTCCCACCTCCCTCTTCCCAAACTCTGTGGAGAGGCTGCAGCGAGCGAGGTGTCCCTACCTGAGCACCGACCCTCCATCCCGCTGTCCCTCCTGTCACCGACGCCTCCCTCCCTCTGGTGCCGGAAGGACTCTTGCCCCATCGTTTTTGAACATTTTTCCTTCCTCAAAACCTGACTCACTTCCTGCAGGGTGAGCTGGGGACAGCCCAGGTGGCAGCTGAGTCACCCCCTTTGCCATGTGCCACATCCACCCCGCTCTGGCCGTGGTCGGGGCGGCACAGCCGGTTTGCAGCAGCCAGCAATGGCTGGGAGCCCTCTTCCCTGGCACTGCTCACCCTGGAACACCCACACAAGCTGGGACTTGTGCTGCTGCCCCAGCCTCCTCCAGAGGTGAATAATTCACCCAGACAGGAGCCTCACCTACAGCCCCGCTCCCACATCCCGGCGGGACCAAATCCATCACCTGGGGCAGAGCACGGCTTTAAACTCTGCTGAGAACGATGAAAACCAACCCTGGAGATGCATCTTGGCCTGGGAAGCCGCAGAGCTACAAATCACAGGGAGGGGAGAACAGCAGGAAAACAACCAGGATGGATGGGCAGAGCTGGGAGCTGCTTCTGCAAGAGCCTGCACATGGCAGGGACAGCCTGGCAGAGCAGGAGGGGAGTGGATCAGCCTATAAATACATCCCCGGGGAGGGGAGAGGAGATATTTCAGCTGAAGGATGCTGCTGGTGTGAGGATGGATGGGGATAAATTGCTCATGGATAGGGAGCAGGTTTAGATTTGATGTTAAGAAGGAATTGTTCCCTGAGAGGGAGCTGAGGCCATGGCACAGGGGGCCCAGAGCAGCTGTGGCTGTCCCTGGATCCCTGGAAGTGTCCAAGGCCAGGCTGGAGCAGCCTGGGGTAGTGGAAAGTGTCCCTGCCCATGGCAGGGTGGGATGAGATGAGATTTTGGTCTTTTTCCGACCCAAACCATTCCACGACTCTGGGGTTCTGTCACAAACAAAGTCTGTCCCCATCACTGGCAGCTCTGTCATTCCCCCCTGGCCAAGCTGAAAGCCCCAGACCCCTGTGGGGATCCCCAGTGCTGCTCCCACCACTCTGGAGTGCACAGCAGCCCCTCAGGAGCAAACCCCAGCTCCTCAGGGCTCCCCAGCTGTGGCCAAGGCTGCCCAGGCAGTCATGCCAGGACGATGGAGCTGAGCCCTGGCTCCCTGAGCATCTCCCAGCCACCAGCTCCCAAACCTGAGGGCAGCCAGGGCTCCGTGGGGATGAGAATGCCGGGAGCAGTGACAGAGACGTCGCCTGCAGGGTTATTTACAGCCCTCAGGAAAAACACGGAGGTTTGGAAGCATTTCCTACGGTGGGAAAACATTGATTTTTGTCAGCCTGAGCCTCAAGCTGAGGCTCACGCGCTTAATAAGACAAAAATGACAGCGCAGAGCCTGGTGACAGCAGCTCCTGGGTCAGGCTCATGGAATTCCAATGGCTGCATGCAGGAGGGAGGGATGGGCAGGATGGGCAGAGGCAGCTCCAGCTCCTCTCACTTCACCCGTGCCAGGCATCCTGTCCGGAAGGAGCAGGGCTGTGCTGTGCTGTTGACAGCCTGGAATTTCCCTCCCCAGGCTTGTGGGGTGCCCTGGGAACGCTGCCTGGATAAATAGGAATTCCCACACCCATAGGAATTCCCACACCCGAGCTCTGCCCTGGGTGACCACAGACATAAAGCCAAGTGCAAACTCCACCTCCAGAGCACATGAAAAATAGGAAGTGCCAAGTCCTGCGAGCTGCCCACGGCTCCCAAATGCCAGCTGCAATAATGGATCAACCCTCTGCTCCCTGCAGCCAATAACACCCAGCTGCTCACAGCCCTCCCCTGCTCCAGAGCAGGAGCATCGCTCCAGGGGGGAAACTGAGGCACAAAGCGTTATTGGGGGGGTCCTAGGGACCCCAAAATGGTATAGGCGGGTGTGGGGATCCCAAAAATGCAACCAGCTCCCTCTCCAGTGCCCAGGGATGGTTTTGTAGGCTGCTTCCTGCAAACCCCAAGGAAAGCCAGGCTCACCTCCTGCTGCACCGGGATGGTGCCCCTGGCGCCCTGCACTGCACACTGGGCCCAGCAGGAGCTGCTGAGTCAGCAGCAGCGGGAGATTTCACCGGAATGAGCCGTGTTCCTGCCGGGAAGGGCCCCAGGCCCCCATTGTTCACGAGGGGCTGCTAT